ATTTGCAAAAGGTGGTCATTTAATTCACTTTTTTATTATGTAATATTTGAGACATATAAAAAGTTTACAAAACTGCTATATACTCTTTAGTGAACTTTTGTGGCTTGTAAGATAAAAATCTAGACTAGTAAAAAAGACTTTGTTTCCAGATAGAAGTACAGCAAAGCTGGAAATTAAAAGTTTTGCATAGTTTTTTCTTTCTCCCAAGTGCAAAAGACTAGCATTCTTATCATTTACAGGTATGCCAAATCTCCCTTAGTACTTAAGTCTTTAGCTAAAGACTTAGAAAAGAGAGACACTGTTGTCACATCTTTTTTATTATTTTTGGTGAGGAAGATCAGCCCTGAGCTAACATCCGATGCTGATCCTCCTCTTTTTTTTTTTGCCGAGGAAGACTGGCCCTGAGCTAACATCTGTGCCCATCTTCCTCTACTTTATATGGGATGCTGCCACAGCATGGTGTGACACGCGGTGCTTGGGTGCGTGTCCGGGATCTGAACCTGGGAACCCTGGGCCGCCGAAGCAGAGAGCATGCACTTAACAGCTTGCGCCACAGGGCAGGCCCATCACATCTTAATTTAAGACAAAAATCAACCAAGGTCTAATAGGGAAAGATGTGGACAGGAAGATTGCTAATGGAAAACTTGACTTTAGATGAAAGATAACAACACTGAAAAATACAAAGGAAACACAGTCATTAAGCTAATTAATTCTGGCCCCTCCAAATCTTAGAGTGGTGTCATTTACTAGCTGTGTGACGTTGGACAAGTTCTTTAACCTCTCTACACCTCAGTTTCCTGAACTGTGTGTGGTGAGGATAAAAATAGGATCCACGTCTTAGGGTGGTTACATGTAAAGCCCTTAGAACAGTGCCTGGCATACAGTTTGTTGTTGTTAGTGCCTTGGAGTCAATTCCAACTCCCAGCGACCCTGTGGAGAGCAGAGCGGAGCCCTGCTGGGTCTTTTTGCACCATCCTCTCACCTTCCCGCGCTGTATCAGACAACACTCCGCTGCTATTCACAGGGTCTTCATGGTGTACAATAAATCCTCAACAAATGTTAGCTCACTTTCTTCCTCCTCCTCAACAGAATGTTAGCTCCACATGAAAGCAGAGACGTTGTCTTATTCAGTTCTGTATCCTCAGCTTCTATTTTGCCCACAGTAGGTACTCAATAAATATTTGTTGAATGGATTAATTAATGAAAGTAGCTAGGATTTGAGGCTGAAAGTGAAAGAGAATTTGTTCGAAGTTTTATAGCTAGTGAGGGAAAAATAGACCTCTGGTTTAAGGTAGGTTAGGGCGGTAGGAAAGAACCCTAAATGAAGATGAGAAGACTCACATTCAAGTTTAAATTCTTATAACTCTCTGGGTGTTGGGACTAGGGTTTTCTTCTTTAATTTGTAAAACAGGAATAACTCCCAAGGTTATTCTGAGGATGAAATTACGGTGTATATGAGAGCTCACAATAAACTATAAAGGGATATACAAACACATGATATTATTAATATTTACCTCAGTAAGTTTATCCATTGGATGACAATAAAATGATTCTATGCGAGTCTTAGAAGAAAGAATCTTTAGCTCAAGACTTAAGTACTAAAAATATTCAACCCCAGAGGTACCACAGACATAGACTAATTTTTTCCATCTGTGCAGTTTAGGGTAGTTTTGGCATACTCTCAATACCAGGCAAGAAAGAAACTATGGTTTAGGCTGCTTTTAAAGTTAAAAAAAAAAAAAAAAGGCAGAAAAGGAAACTATTTCCTTTTATAAGCAAGAATGTTAAAATAGGGAAAGCCTTCAATGAGTAATTCTCCACTGAAGCAAGACTATTTGATCCACATCCTCTCCTACCTTTCCCCACTCCCCATTTATGTCCTAATTACTTAGTTGTTTTATATATTATGATTTATGTGTTATGGTCACTTCCATCTCACCAAAGAAGAGCAATACAGATTATTCTTTATCAGTCATATGTGACTCAGAGGTCAAAAGAGCAGTTCTCCCTAGATTAGTAATATTTAAATAGTTTTCCCTGGTTTTCAGAGCCAGGGACTATTCAAAATACTAAAGCTTTAAGATTAGCCCCCACCCAAGATGCCTCAACAGAGCCTGAGCTTGAGGTTGAGAAACTGACTTGAGGAAAAGGATAAAGGAGCAAAAAAAGCCATAGTGGGTGAGCTGATGACTCACTTCCACTTCCTTGAACTTCAGGAATGACAAGACAGAAGAGGGAAAAAAAGGCAGTGCCCCACAGCAGGCCAGATGTTCCATGAAAGACAAGAAATTCAGGGAACTCAAAGACCTATATATGTTCTTAGGGCAAAGGCAATAAATGTAATTTCCATGGTCAAGTGTTAAGTGCATTAAAGAAAGAACACTAGGAAAACTAACCTTGATTTCACTCTACTATCAGAGCTATCGTCCTAAAGCTGATCATTTTACTCTCCTGCTTAAAAGCCTCAATACCTCCACATTGCTACTGGAGTAAATCTAAACTTACAATGGCATAGAATATTCTTCATAACCTTCCTTGTTAGCTTCATCTTTTAATTAATTCTTATCACATATCTTGGAAGGTTTAGGGGACCACTTATAATTTACCAATAAAAATAAGCCAGATACTTTTAAACTCTGGTCTATTTGTTTACATTATTCTCTCTGCCCAAAACTCTCATCCCAGCTGGCAAACCTCTAACTGTGCTTCAAAGCCTGGCTCAAGTATCATTTCTTCTCTGTAGCTTTCTCAACTCTCACTCTCTCCTACTACCCAGAATGATTGTTATTTCATCTACGGTGTCATTGAACTTCAAGCATGCCTTTGTGAAATCACCTAGCCCAACGCATTAGATAGACTCGTAGGGTTCAATCCTCTTCCCAACTCACTGCATACTCCATGAAGGCAAGTGTGAGCCCGTTGTTGTGCAAATCTTGCCACACCATATGAGCACCATCCAGGTTTGCTGAATTGAATCAAATATTAGAAGAGGACAAAAGCATAATAGATTTTAGGCCTAGAATTATGCTGGGACTAGAAAGTGTATGCTAAATCCACATTTGTGATTCTGCTTTTGGTCTTACCAGAGTGCATGTAATTTGCTTTTATTAAAAAAGTGTCATGAATATATTTCTCTAGATAAAACATTATTAATCCATTTTCAGCTTAGAATTGGCCTCCCCATAACCCAGTTAGCCAGAAGGTAGCTGAGTAATTTGAAATATTCTCCAGCTGGAGCAGAATCATATTTGGAGCTTACTTCAATCAGTGCACCTCTGTCTTGCTTTGGCTCTTCAAAGAGCCCCTCAGTCAACCATAGCCTTTGAAGTCACAAGCAGAACAGAAACCGGATGAACTCTGTTGAATTTTAAACTTGCCACATTCCCTACTCTCAAACTTTTCTTTTCTAATTGAACTAGCCACTGAAGAAGTATATAGTGTAGTATCAATTTATTTTTTTTATCTTATCCATTATGCCACCTTGTTCCAGAAAGTCTTTAAGAGAGGTTAAAGAAAAAAACTCCAAATCCCAAAGCAAACTGTCCCACACTCATCCCTTTGCTTCTTTTGGTGAACTTCTGTCAGTGCTGATGATCAGTGTGAAAGACTTTTGGAAAAGTTTTCCAGGTACTAGTAAGAGCATTTCCTGAAGCATCTTTTATCTTGGTTTGTAGCAAATGATTCTGTCAATACCCACAGGTCACTTTTACCCCAAGACCCAGTATGAGTTTGTTCAACCTTGAAATCATTCACTTCGGCCCTTACCTCAGGTACATAACAAGGTAGTTAGTTACGCAGCATGTGTCCTGGCTAAATCAAATCATAGCTGATTCACATCTGAAGGTGCTCAGGGGGTACAGCATAAAGATTAAGAGCAGGAGCTCTGGAGTCAGTCTGTCTGTCTGAGTTTGAATCTGGCCACACCTCTGACCAATTATGTGATCTTGGACAAGCTACTTAAGCTCTCTATGCCTCACCTGTCTTATCAGTAAAAAAGGAATAATAATGGTACTTACCTCACAGGTTTGTTGTGTGGAATTAGCGAATTAAATATGTAAAGCACTTAGAATAGTGTCTGGCACATGGTAAGCACTCAATAAACGATATATACTTTCATATTTTTAGGTAAAAAACGTGGGTACAATAAAAAATTAAAGGAAGGCTGGTCATTTTTAGAACAAATTTTATTTACAAAACTACACCTCAGTTGGCTTTGGTATCACTATTGACAAAATGCCTACAGCTGAGATATTAGCTGAGGTGCTACATTGATTTTAGCTTTACATAAAACCAGAATCCAACACTATCCCAATTTCCAATTCCTGTGTGGCTCTGAATGTAGCTTTAAAAAGAAAAAAACTCTTTATAATGTACAATGGCTTACGAAAACCACTTTAGTCTTTTTATTTTTTTCTATTTAAGGGTTGGGACCAAGACTACTCATCTGAAATTTGCTATTTACAGAGAACATCCTAGAGAATGGGATAACTTAAAGATGGAGGTTTAGTTTATCTGGCTTTCATAATACAATATCCATATGACTTAGAAGAATGTAAATAAATAATATTGTTAAAGAGTATATATTGATAATTTTCCAACAAATTCATTTATCTAACATCATGCTGAGGAATCAAGAGGATTCCTCTATACATTTTAAAGTTTTAATTTTTTCTATTTACTGATTCATAAAATCTTGCTCCATATTAAAGTAGTTATCACCAATATAATATATGATAATCAGTACCCATGGAAACTAACAGCCTGTTGTCTAAAATCTCCTGTTAAGCTTTAATGCCCACTTGAGCTTCACATATGTATGCTTGGTTATATGCATGGATTTATGCATGGATATACGTATGGTTGACATATATGTGGGTACTAATGCCTCTTATTCACGAATGTAAAATTAATGATATCTGGCATCTAATTGTAAGAAAAACTCCCCTAGATTGGGAGATAGCTGAGTGATACGTGAAAGAATCTTCTTCTATCTGAATTTAAGAATATCTATACTGGGCAGAGGGACGGAGAGAGAGGAAGAAGTAGAAGTAAAAGAAAAGAACTACATTGGCTCAAATTAAACTCAGGTAATTAATTTGAGACAGCAAATAAATAAATCAACAAATGCCCCATTTTTGTTTTCCAAAGAAAGAAATCACTGGCAAATCCTTACTAACAATTTTAAAGTTGATCTATTAATATATATGTTAAGTAGGAAAAAGTTTGAATATCATATATTTCATAATTCCATTCATCTAATACACTCCTCTGCTGAGATATCTAACACGTCTTCATCTGTATTCTCTTCTATCTCTGGCAAGTTGCCCCAAAGTAGGAAGTTTGCACCTGAAAATAAAAGCCAGATACTTCCTTGTCAAATAGAATTGTTTGGTGCTGACTACTGTTAAAACTCAGAACATGATACATGAAACCTTATATGTTAACATTCTGATATTAAACCATAATGTCAGCAGTAAAGAAAAAAGCTATTTAAGAATGTACCACAAATCAAATTATCTAGTATTATTCATCTAGAACATAAACATCCTTTAAGCCTTTTAAACAAGGGCTTGAATTCTAGACTCTTAGAACTCAAAAGGATCTCAGGGGTCCATTTACTCAAACCCTCCCTCCAGCTCCATAATGCCATAATCACTTTACACTGATAATTTTCAAATCTATTTTAATGATTTTTAAGATTGGAGATGTCACAAGATCCTTTTAGATTAAGTGTCTCTTTGGAGGGTACAGAGAAAAGACCTGAATAAGTCTCCTAATCCCCTCAACAAGCATGGAAGCAGCTGGTGCCTTTTTTCTGATTAAAAAAAGCCAAGTTTTGGAACCAGTTATAATATGAACAGTAATCCTCGATATAGGTGGATTTTAGGCTAGAGGCTGTCAAGGTAGAACTGTAAACTTTAGGAACAGGTTTAGCTGTCAATACAATAATCAAAACAACAATCTAAAACCTTACGGTGAAAGGACAGTCAGATTTCATATTGAGGAATCTTGCACTGGTATATAGTACAAGACCACATATATGGTAGAGGATAATGAGATGGTTTATTCTGGGCATGTACTACATTACAACTTGAAAGCACTAAATTTAAAAAAAAAATACCATTATTAATTGACCTCTAGGAGAGCCAATGAAGTCCAACAAGAAAACAAATCTCAAGCTGTCCAGTCATCTATGTGGGCATGAGGAGGACTCAGCAACTCTGGATATCCACTCTATACACATGGTGGAACAGCATGAGCCAGGGTGTGGAGATTTGGTTTGAATCCAATTTCTACCACTCTAAGTACACCATGGAGGTTTTTACCACTTTTACTACAAATGTATGCAACCACAGACAATATATATTATTGTGTTGTGTATTTAACTTTTTTACAGTAAGGTACTATACTATATATATCTTTTCTAATTTGCTTTTTTTCATTCATCATTATGTTTTTGGGATTTACCTATGTCCTATGTCCATATATGTAGGCTTAGCTCATTTAGCTCATTTCTTTTTATTTCTTTAGAGTATTCCTTTGTGTGAATTAAAAAAAATATATATATATATATATATATCTATATATTGCAAATATGTCCCATCTTCATCCTTTCCTCTAACTGCCCATTTTGTACAGGTGCCCAAGGAGACACGTACAAGGATGTGCACTGCTGCATTGTTGAAACAGTGGAGGGGCCGGCCCAGTGGCATAGTGGTTAAGTTTGCACGTTCTGCTTCAGTGGTCCAGGGTTCACCGGTTTGGATCATGGACACGGACCTACTCACCGCTCCTCAAGCCATGCTGAGGCGGTGTCCCACATAGAAGAACTAGAAGGACCTACAACTAGAGACACAACTATGTACTGGGGCTTTCAGGAGAAAAGACAAAAAAAAAGAAGAAACAGTGGAAACCATCAACTGTCTCTCTTGGTTGAGATACTGGAATCTAATCAGGCAAGAAGTTAGCATCTATTTGATACTGGTGTGGATAGAGATGTCTAACAATCATTTTCTGTAATTTTTTGTGTGCTTGAATTGTTTATAACAAAAAATATTTTTTCCTCAAGAATGAATGGTGTTCTGCTTCTGGTAATATGGCATTGAAGAGTTGACAGGATAGTAAGGAACTACTAGGCCAAAATCTAACGGACAATTAGAACCCACGAAGTTGAAGGGAGTGTTGAAGTCAATTTGCCTTTGAGGACATTTGCCAATCCCAGGGAATATGAACTGAGGTTTCCCAAGCCTCCCCAGGAAAGTTTCGGGAAATCAGGTCTAGAAGTGAAGGCTAGCCTAGAACATAGACTTCTTGGGGCCCTTTCAGTCTAAACATTCTAGAATTTTGTAAAGCTTGTGTATGTATTCCTTTGATGCTGTTGATTCAGGTAATTCCAATACCATGAGAAACCCTGTTTTATACCAAGCATCTAGAAAACCTTGCTTTAAATCACAATATTAGGGTTACAAAGGAGAAGTTTGATATTCTTGGAGTCAATACTCAGAGACGTGAGTAGCTCGGCACAATTGGTTCAAAGGAGAAAAAATAAACTAAGAGATTGGATCTGACAAAAGCAGCACCTTCCTTTCTCTGTTAAGAAGGGAGGAAGGAAATCCTGTGATACATCTGTTTCTCATGGATTAGATTCAATGCAAATGGAAGAATGCTGGGCTTTTATCTTTGAAAAATTGACCAATATTAAAAAGTAAATCAAAATTGAAAAATCTCCACCCTGTGTTTTGAATTCTATGAAGCAGGAAAAATAGTATCAAAGCAGAAACTTCCTTTAATGTGTCCCATGAGCAACACAAACATAAAACTGGAGGCCTAAATTAGGAGCCTATCTCTCCCTTAGGGGAGTTCAGATAAGTCCTTGCTGAAAAATGGCCTTCTTAACATACTAGAGTCTTAACTTAAGACCCCCAGATAGGGCCAGCCCGGTGGCATAGTGGTTAAGTTGGCGTGCTCTGCTTCGGCAGCCTGGGGTTCACAGGTTCGGATCCCCAGCGTGGACCTATGCACCACTTATCAAGCCATGCTGTGGCAGGCATCCCACATATAAAGTAGAGGAAGATGGGCATGGATGTTAGCCCAGGGCCAATCTTCCTCAGCAA